AATGAAACAAAAAGTGGTTCTTTGAAAATATAAATAAAATTGATAGACCATTAGCAAGATTAACCAAGAAAAGAAGAGAGAAAATCCAAATAACCTCACTAAGAAACAAAGCAGGAGATATTACAACTGACACCACTGAAATACAAAAGATCATTCAAAGCTACTATGAACACCTTCACACAAACTGAAAACCTAGAAGAGAGAGATAAATTTCTAGAAAAATACAACCCTCCTAGCTTAAGTCAAGAAGAATGATACCCTGAACTGACCAATAACAGTGAGATTAAAATGGTCATTTTAAAATTACTAACAAAAACAGTCCAGGACCAGAGAGATTCACAGCAGAATTATATCAGAAATTCAACAAAGAATTGGTACCAATCCTTTTGACACTATTCCACAAGACAGAGAAAGAAGGAATCCTCCTATTTCATTTTATGAAGCCAACATCACCCTAATACTAAAACCAGGAAAGGACATAAAACAAAAAAGAAAACTATAGACCCGTTATCTTTGATGAACACTTATGCTAAAATCCTTAACAAAATATTAGCTAATCAAATTCAACAAGATGTCAAAAAGATAATCTACCATAATCAACCGGGTTTCATACCAGGAATGCAGGGATGGTTTAATATATGCATGTCAATAAATGACATACATCACATATATAGAATTAAAAACAAAAGTCACATGATCTTCTCCATAGATGTGGAAAAAGCATTTGATAAAATCCAGTATCACTTTATGACTAAAACTCTCAGCAAAATCAGCATACATGGGGCACACCTTAACGTAATAAAGACCATCTATGACAAGCCCACAGCCAATATAATACTGAATGGGGCAAAGCTGAAAGCATTCTCTCTGAGAACTGGAATAAGACAAGGATGCCCACTCTCATTACTCCTCTTCAACAGAGTACTGGAAGTCCTAGCCAGAGCAATCAGACAAGAGAAAGAAATAAGGGTATCCAAATCAGTAAAGAGGAGATAAGACTGTCACTGTTTGCTGACCATATGATCATTTACTTCAAAAACTCTAAGGACTGCTCCAGAAAGTTTCTAGAACTGATAAAAGAATTCAGCAAAGTTTCCGGATATAAGATTAATCTATGCAAATCAGTAGCTCTTCTATACCCCAACAGCAACCAAGTGGAGAATCAAATCAAGAACTCAACTCCTTTTACAATAGCTGCAAAAAAAAAAAAAAAAAACAAAGAAAAACAACAACAACTTAGCAATATACCTAACCAAGGAGTCAAAAGACCTCTACAAGGAAAATTACAAAACTCTGCTGAAAGAAATCACAGACGGCACAAACAAGTGGAAACACATCCCATGCTCATGGATGGGTAGAATTGATATTGTGAAAATGACCATATTGCCAAAAGTAATCTACAAATTCAATGCAGTCCCCATCAAAATACCACAATTCTTCAGAGTTAGAAAAAAAAAAATCTAAAATTCATATGGAACCATAAAGAGCCCACATGGCCAAAGCAAGACTAAGCAAAAAGAACACATCTGGAGGTATCACGCTACCTGATTTCAAACTATACTATCAGGCCAGAGTCACCAAAACAGCATGGTACTGGTAAAATGACAGGCACACAGATCAATGGAACAGAATAAAGAACCCAGAAATAAACCCAAATACTTACAGCCAACTGATCTTCGACAAAGCAAATAACATAAAGTGGAGAAAGGACACCCTTTTCAACAAATGGTGCTGAAATAATTGGCTAGCCACATGTAGGAGAATGAAAATGGATCCTCATCTCTCATTTCATACAAAAACCAACTTGATGGATTGAGGACTTAAACCTGAACCCTGAAACTACAAATATTCTAGAAGATAGCATTGGAAAAACTCTTCTAGACATTGGCTTAGGCAAGGATTTCATGACCAAGAATCCAAAAGCAAATGCATTAAAAACAAATAGCTGGGACCTAATTAAACTAAAGAGCTTCTGCATAGTAATAGGAACACCCCACAGAATAAACAGCCCACAGAGTGGAAGAAAATCTTCACAATCTATACTTCCAACAAAGGACGAATATCCAGAATCTACAATGAACTCAAATCAGTAAGAAAAAAACAAACAATCCCATCAAAAAGTACGTTAAGGATATGAATAGACAATTCTCAAAAGAACATATACATATGGCCAACAAGCATATGAAAAAATGCTCAACATCACTAAAGATCAGGGAAATGCAAATCAAAACCACAATGAGATACCACCTCACTCCTGCAAGACTACAATAGAAAAATCAAAAAAACAGTAAGATGTTGGCGTGGATGTGGTAAACTTCTACACTGCTGGTGGGAATGTAAACTAGTACAGCCACTATGGAAAACAGTGCGGAGATTCCTTAAAGAACTAAAAGTAGAAGTACCACTAGATCCAGCAATCCCACTACTGGATATCTATCCAGCAGAAAAGAAGTCATTATGCGAAAAAGATACTTGCACATGCATGTTTATAGCGGCACAATTCACACAGCAAAATCATGAAACCAACCCAAATGCCCATCAATCAACAAGTGGATAAAGAAACTAATACACACACACACACACACACACACACACACACACACACACACACACGATGGAATGCTACACAGTCGTAAAAAGGAATGAACTAACAGCATTTGCAGTGACCTGGATGCGACTGGAGACTATTACTCTAAGTGAAGTAACTCAGGAACAGAAAACCAAACATCATATGTTCTCACTGATATGTAGGAGCTAAGCTATGAGGATGCAAAGACATAAGAATGACATGATGGAGTTTAGGGACTTGGGTAAGAGTGGGAGGGGGACGAGGGATAAAAGACTACAAATATGGAGCAGTGTATACTGCTTGGGTGATGGGTGCACTAAAATCTAACAAATCGCCACTAAAGAACTTACTCATGTAATCAAATACCACCTGTACCTCAATAACATGGAAAAATAAAAAATAAAACGTTTTATTCTAAAGTTAAAATTTGAAAGAAAGAGGAAAAAAACTGGTTTCAGTGCTACTCAAAGGCAAATAAAGGTTAAGACTCATGAACGAGTTTAATGTACAAGGCAACCTCAAAGAACAAAGCTGGTGAAATAAACTACCAGATATCACCGTTGGAGCTGACATTTGCTCCAGTTTTAATTACTGCGGTAAGTAAATAAAATAATGTGTTACTGCTTCAAGGTCAGACCAAAAAAAGAAGAAAAGAGATACCAGAAATAGACCCACACAAATGCAATCATCTGAAAACAAAAGCCTCCAGCAGAGGAAGGATAGCCTTTTTTTCTCCCAGCTTTACTCAAGTATAATTGACAAAATTGTATTTAATTGTAAGGTGTACAATGTGGTTTCAATTTATATATATGCTATGAAAGGATTGCCACAATCAATCAGGCTAATTAGCAGATCCATTACTTCACAGTTACCATTTTTATTTGCATGTGTGGGTGAGAATACTTAAGATCTACTCTCTTAGCACATTTCGAGTATATAATAAATTACATAGTTACTAAACTACAGTTAGCATGCTGTACATTATATCTCCAGAACTTACCCATCAACTGCAAGTTTGTATCCTTAGATCACAATCTTCCACCCCCAACTTCTCAACATATGGTTTGGATGTTTGTCTCCTCCAAATCTCATGCTGAAATGTGATTCCCAATGTTGGAGATGGAGCCAGGAGGGAGGTGATTGCATCATGGGGGCAGATCCCTCACGAACGGTTTAGGACCATCCACTTGGTGATGAGTTCCCACCCAGTTCACAAGAGATCTGGTTGTTTAAAAGACTCCAGGTCCTTCCCCTTCTCTCTTGCTCCCCCTTTACCTTCCATCATGATTGGAAGCTTCCTGAGGGCCTTACCAGTTTGTGCCATGCTTCCTTTACTGCCTGCAGAACTGTGAGTCAAACAAAACTCTTTTCTTTATAAGTTACCCAGTTTCATGTATTTATTTATAGCAACATAAGAATGGACTAACATAAGAAAATTGGTACCGATGAGTGAGTAGTGCTATAAACATTCCTGAATACATGGAAGCAGCTCTGGAACTGGGTAACAAGCAGAGGTTGGAAAAGCTGTGGGCTCAGAAGACAGGAATGTGAAGGAAAGTTTGGAACCTCTTACAGACTAAATAGTTGTGACAAAAATGCTGATAGAAATATGGACAGTGAAGTCCAGGCTGACAAAGTTTCAGATGGAAATGAGGAAGTGATTGGGAACTGAAGTAAAGGTCACCCATGTTACGCCCTAGCACAGAGCTTGGTGGCATTGCATTCATATCGTATCCTAGGGACCTGTGGAAGTTTGAACTTAAGAGTGACAAATTAGTGTATCTGGCAGAAGAAATTTCTAAGCAGCAAAGCATTCAAGATATAACCTGGCTGCTTCTAACAGCCTACAATCAGGTATGAAAGAAAAAAAAATGACTTAAAGTTGGAACTTGTATCTAAAAGGAAAGCAGAGCATAAATGTTTAGAAAATTTGCAGGCTGGCCCTGTGGTAAAGAAAGAATACAAGCAGACTGTGGAGCAGCCACTTGCTAGAGAGATTAGCGTGACTAAAGGGGAGCCATGTGCTAACATCCAAGACAATGGGAAAAAGGCCTTAAAGGGCATTTCAGAAGTCTTTGGGACAGCCCCTCCTATCATAGGCCTGGAGAGTGCTAATTTTAAAAGGATAATCTTTTTGTTAAAAACAGAATTAAGTAGTCTTATAAAGTTAGGTACCAAAATCATCATACATACTCTTGTGCTGATCAATTACTGAAAATAACATCAAAGCCTAATAGTTTACCGGCCTGGAGCTTAATCTTGACAAACTACTAAAATGGCCTTCCTCATTATCTCTATATAATAACATTAGATTCCTGACTGAAGCCAGTCTAAGAAAACAATCCTATATTAAATTTTGTCTATTACTTTCATCTCAACATTTAAAGCCTTATCATGATTCTTTGCATTAAGAGAAGAAAAGTGTTCTTACCCTATTAAAGCCATGTTCATGAGAGTCATCAACTTCTCCATTACTAGTCACTGGAATTTCTGCTGCTGAATTTTTGGGAGATTCTTGAGCCATAGTAGACTCCTAAAACAAAAGAAGAAAAAAACAGCCATAACTAATACCAAATCATAAGGACTATATTGATGTTTATAGTACAAGCCACGGTTTTAACATTTTTTATCATTGCAACCTACCAAATACTTATATAATAAACAGAATACATACATAATTTTAAAATTCCATCTGGCTGATTTATCTTCACTTAACCTTAACTTCTTGATTAAAAATGAGTTACATATTTGTTGTAGGTACTGGAGGCATTCTCATAGCCTCTTAAATAGTGTTATGATAGACCAGCACTTACAACTGGGGAAAAAAAATTACAGAAAGCCAAGCTTGATTGTTAATTCAACTGCAGCAGCTCTATTTTTCCAACTGGAGTACTACGAAGACAAATGAGAGCAAAGGGCAGAGTAGAATTAGGTTGGTAACAGATCTAGCTTAAAAATCCACAAACTTGGCCGGGCGCGGTGGCTCAAGCCTGTAATCCCAGCAC